ATCTCTTGGAACCTCGTCGGCCCTCTTGGGAGCTTCTTGGGGGCCTCTTGGATCCGATTGGGGGCCTCTTGGGACTTCCCGAGAACCTCTCGGGGTAGAAAGCTCGGATTCTCAGTTCGTGTTTCCCTTCTTGGGCCTCTCTTGGGGCCGTCTTGGGGCCCTCTCGGGCCTTCTTGGGCGCCTCAGGCACCGCCTTGTGGCCCTCGTGGGCCGCCCAGGGCCCTCTTGGAAGCCTCTTCGGCTATCTTGGAGCTGTCTTGGAGGCCTCTTCCTCCTCCTCGTCCCCCTCCTCCTCCTCCGCTCACTCCAGCTCTCTCTCCTCCTGATCTTCCTCCTCCTCCTCCTCCTGCAGCGTGTTCCGGAAGGCTCCCGCCGGAACATGCTGTGAAGAAGTGCTGTCATTGCTCCCGCCACAGTGCCCTGGGTGGTGGGTCAGAGGCCTCATGGGTGTTGGTTTGGATCTCGTGGTTGGCCTGTCGGGGACGTCGTGAAGGCAATTTCGCAGCTTCTCGGTAGCCGTTTCGGGACCGTTGTGGGGCCTCCTCGGGGCTGTTTTGTGGCCTCTTTAGGCCTCGTTTGGGCCTCCTGGGTGCCTCTTGGGGGCCTCCTGGGGCCTCTTGGGGGCTCCTTGGGGCCTCCCGGAGCACTCTTCAAGCGGGAGGGTCGAATTTTGGAGTCGTGGTCCCCCTCTTGGGCGCATCTTGCGGCTCTGTTGGGCTGTCTTGGGCGACTCTGGGACCGTCTTGGGGCCCTCTTGGGCCGTCTTTGGGCGCTCTTGGGGGCCTATTGAGCCGTCTTGGAACGTCGGACAGCCGAAAAGGCTTGAAGGCCAAAATCGTTCGACAACCTTCGTAAAATTGACGATTGCGGTCTCTTGAAGTGCTGTGGAGAGGCGTCTTGAAGCGTCGTGGAGTGCCTTGGGGGGCCTCTCGGGCCGTCTTGGGCATACCTTGGACGTCCTGGAGCGGTCTTTCGGCGACTCGGGGCCCGCTTGGGCCGTCTTGGGAGCCTCTGGAGGCCCTCCTGGACTATTTTTAACCTCCCCGGCCGCCCCGTCCTCCCACGGGGGGTCGGAGGCGGCGGCCTCCGAGGCCCAGGACGCAGAAACCCGGTAAAAACAGCCAAAGAGAGTTCCAAGAGGGCCCCAAGACGGCTCAAGTGGGGTTCAGGAGTGACCTAGAGGCCCCGAAGACAGCCCAAGAAGGCTCCAGGACCGCTCCCAGAAAGGGCTCACAGGGGTACCCGACCTGACATTTCCAGCCTTCCTCCCCAAAGAGAGCCCTAGGAGACCCCCAGAAGGCCCCCCAAAGCATCCAGAATGCTTCAAGGGGCCCCCCACAGGCCCCCAAAAGGCCTCCAAAAGGCCCCCAGGAAGCCGAAGATGGTCCGCAGACGGCCCACCAAACCGCCCAAGACGGCCCAAGAGGCATCCAAGAGGACTCCCAAGAGGGCCCGCAGAAGCAAAAAAGGCCCCACTCCCCTTCGGAAAACGTAGATTTTTATAATATTCGCCCAGAGGCCTCCAAGCTCGCGCCAAGACGGCCAAAGAGGGTCCCAGAGGGCCCCAAGATCGCACCAGACGGCCAAAGAGAGTTCCAAGAGGGCCCCAAGACGGCTCAAGTGGGGTTCAGGAGTGACCTAGAGGCCCCGAAGACAGCCCAAGAAGGCCCCAGGACCGCCCCCAGAAAGAGCTCACAGGGGTACCCGACCTGACATGTCCAGCCTTCCTCCCCAAAGAGAGCCCTAGGAGACCCCCAGAAGGCCCCCCAAAGCATCCAGAATACTCCAAGGGGCCCCCCACAGGCCCCCAAGAGGCCTCCAAGAGGCCCCCAGGCAGCCGAAGATGGTCCGCAGATAGCCCCCCAAACCGCCCAAGACGGCCCCAAACCCGAGGGGTGACCGGGGCGGGAACGGCGTCGACGACGACGACGCCGACGACGACGCCGACGACGGCGACACCGCCGACGACGGAGAATTCTCTCTGGGATCCGAGGGCCTCTGCGCTGGCCCGGGGCGGGAGGTGCCACCGCAGGAGGGCCACGGCGCGCATGGCGTCGAGGAGGCCGTTTTCTTGGACCAGCGGCGGCGGCGGTCCGAAGTGCGGCTCGTCCGCACCGTCCGTTGTAAGGTTCCTCGGGGCTGTTTGGGAGCCTCTTGAAGCCTCGTTCGGGCCTCCTGGGTGCCTCTGGGGGGTCTCCTGGGGCCTCTTGGGGCCCCTTTGGGGCCTCCCGGGGCCCTGTGGAGGCGGGAGGCTCGAATTTCCGGTTCGCGGCTCCCCTCTTGGAGCCCTCTTGGGGCCGTCTTGGGCCTCTCTTCGCCCGTCTTGGGCGCGTCTTGGGCCGTCTTGGGGCCCTCCAGAGCCGTCTTGAGCCCCTCTTGGAGGCCTCTTGGGCTGTCTTGGGGCGTCCGCGGGGGGCCTGTGAGCCGTCGTGGAGCGTCGGAAAGCTGAAAAGGCGGGAAAGGCAAAATGTGTCCAAAACCTTCGTAAAGTACACGATTTTGGCCTCTTGGGGCCCTCTGGGGGGGCCTCTTGCAGGCCTCTTGGAGCGTCTTGGGGGCCTCTTTGGCCGTCTTGGGCTTATCTTGAGCATCTTGGGGCCCTCTTGGCGCCCCCTTGGGCCTCATGGAGCCTGCTGGGCCTGTCGTGGAGCGCTCTTGGGGCACTCTTGGGCCGCCTGGGCTGCCCCAGGGAGGCTCCAGGCCCCCCCCGTCCCCCCATGGGGGGTCGAGGTAGCTGTCCTGGGGCCCCCGGCTTCGCCCCCAGGGATATATATATATATATATATATATATACACACACACATACACATACATACATACATACATACATACATACATATATATATATATATATGCATATGTGTGTGTATATGTATATATATATATATACACACACATATGCATATATATGATACAACTAGCTCTTGACGAGAAGGAAGTCGGTGCAACAGGTTGGTATATTTGCCCACGCCGGCTGAACCAATAATGCAATGTGTTTGGGGCTCCTGCAGCGCAGTCCTACGCGGCAGACTGGTGCTTTCGCTTCTACCCGGATCAGCACAAACAAATAAATGTCGGTCTCGCTATTGCTATCGATATGCGTAATCCAATGGTGAGGTGAGGGCGTTGGGGAAGAAGAAATACCGAATAGGGAGATGAGGAAATAGACGACGAAGTAGTACCCTTGGTAGTACATGGATGTGGTGATACTTGTGGCACGTCTCGTACGAGGGCAACTTTGCCCAACATCGTATACGGGCACCGGTGTCCATCATCACGTCTGTGTTTAGGCCGGCTCTGCTATCTGGCCGCATTTCCGATTTTCCATTCGAGCCTTTGGATTTGCCCCCCTTCATGCCTTTGGTAGCTTTGTCCAATCTCCGTGCGCTCATTCAATGTTTAGTTTTCGCGCAGCTCTGTCCATTATTTCCACTCCTTCGTTCACTCTCGTTCCAGACCTCCTGGTACCGACATGCGCCTAAGAAGGAAAAGCGTCGTTAACTTTGGTGATGCGCTCGAAGCCCATGTTCTCTTTCAGCATGTATTTGAGGCCGAAGCACAAGTTCCTAGCGGCTCGTTCCACAGGGAGCCGGTCGGGCGCGGCCCAAACAGGACCCCCGTTCCGATTGAGCTTCGCTCTCTTGATCATGGCCACGTCGGTGTCTCCGTCCAGTGTGCTGTCGAACTCGGCGTGCAATCAGCTGGTAATATCGCCTTTGATGTACAAGTTGTTCGGGAGAGGGCCGCACAGCAATGGTAGTTGATCTTGGAGCCAAGCAGCTGCTGTGTTCAATATGCCGAGCACCTCCACATTGCCGAAGACTGTTGCAGGGTTTTGGCGTGCACCCCTGGAGGTATACTGATCCTTCAATAACGCCACTTCTTTCTCCAAGCCTGATGCCCTTGTTTACGCCACTGTATCCACTGATGCCTCAGGGGTCCTCGCTGAAGCTGGACGTGAAGCGTGTTCATGTCTATCAGCCACATCCACTTCGTCAATTGTTCGATATGTGAGTCGGTGGCGTCCTGGAGATCCTCCTGAGAAACTCTATGTGTTTTGATCGGCTGGATGTCGTGCCTGATGGTGCCCAAGTGGTGGTTTAGGATTGTCTCGAGGTTCTTGGCTGTGAGGACCTTGGCGGATGCTGCTTCCATATGCTCTTGGTATTGTCGTTGGCGCGCCGCCACAATAGAATAATATTGTTCCATCGGCTGCTGGCTTTGCGGAGGGCTGCTCCCCGTACAAGGCTGATTGAGGGCGCTCTTCGTAGACGTCCCAACGTCGAATGTTTCAGCTTGTTTTGCTGGTTGACGTGCTGGTCCTGGTGCCGAAGCCGCAGATGTTGGCAAGCGCCCTTGCTGGGCAAACTGGAATCTCCTTGACGAGAGTGCAGGCCGTACGGGTTGGCTGTGGCGCACGTAGGGACGACAGATCTGCTTTCCAAAGAGTGCCCAATAAGAAGCAAGAGGATAACAATAACCGTATGTGGTCGAAGTGCGAAATTGCAAACTTGTCCTTGTAGGGAATGAGGAAGTGCCCTGCGGAAGTGCCCGCGGCGCAGCGGGGACAATCATTTGGGTCACCAAAGTCCGCCTTGAGCGTCTGGCCCTGAGCCAAGTCGGCAACCAAGTCGGGAAACATCGGATCGGCGGAAGTCGGCAGGCCAGTAAGACCTCCAGTGAGAAATCGGAATCCACATCGGAATCCGAAGTCGAGTCGAGTCGGAAGCGGCAGCCATCGGAGCCGAATCGATAATCGAATCGGAAGAATCGAAGATCACCCTGCTGACCTGTGAGGGCACCACGAAGTGGTGACCACCCTCGGCGCGGTCCCCTCCTCTCTTCCCCCTCCTCCTCCTCCCCCTCCTCCTCCTCCTCCTCCTCCTCCTCCTCCTCCTCCTCCTCCCCTCCTCCTCCTCCTCCTCCTCCTCCCCTTCCTCCTCCTCCTCCTCCTCCTCCTCCTCCTCTTCTTCCTCCGCCGGCGCCGCCAGGGCGGAGGCCTCCTCCGCCTCCTCGGCGGCCGCGCCGAGCTGCTCCTGGACGGCCTGCCGCGCCGGCGCTGCGGGGCGCGTTCAGCGCGCCGGTCGGGGCAGGGCAGCAGAAGGCGCGCCTCTGGCCCAGCGCATCTCGAGCTGTCCGCACCGTCCTTGCTGAGGGCGCCCAGGGACACAAGTCAATAGACACACGCGTCTCAGTATTCCATACTTCTTTCCATTTTTTGTTTTCTTGTTTAAAGATCTTCCCCTCCAGGTCCTGTCTTTTCCCGTGTAACTCTGGGACTCGACGTTCCCTTGTGTCTGTGTTTTTGTTCCCCCTGCCGACTCCTTATTTACCCATGGGCGAAAAAGGTTTTCGTAACCGCGGCCTCGCAGGCAGGGCCCCGGGGCCGCGACTCCCTGGATTCCAGGATGCCCCGCGCGGAACATTTCCGTGCGACCGCATATCCGCGGGAGCGCGCCCTGGAATGTAGACCGCGAAGGCGCGCACACGGAAATGCTCAAGACGAAGCCAAGACCGGGCCAGACGTTTTTGTCAGCGGCGAGGGCGGCGGGCCGCGCCGGGGCTGCGGGCACACAAAGTCGTCAAGGAGGAAGACAGGACCGGGACAGAATCGGAACGGGACAAATTGGGGATCTCTGGGGTCCGGCGGTTCTGGAAGAAGTATCGGCCGCCGCGGCCGTTCCGAAACGCTCTGGGACGCTCTGAGAGCGTTCCGGAACGCTCCGGAACGACTTATCCTGGTCCTGGCCCCGCCCGATTGGAGCCTCTGGGCCTTCGATCGGCGATCCACTAGCAGTTCGCTCAGTTCCAGGCATCGTCTCGTGTGGTGTCGTCTGTATGGGTGAAGGTGAACGGTGATTCACAATAGGTAAGATGAAAACGCAGCGAGACAAGCCGTACGGTTAACCACAACCTCGGGCACGCTGGGCTTGAGCCAGAGGGGTGCCCGTGAAGCCACTTTGGCCTCCCAGGACCAGCTCGGGACCAGGGACATCTTTGCCCGCTCCCAGGAGGGGGGGGGGGGCGGCGCCAAGGAGGCAGGGGGTGAGGGGCGGCGGGGGGGCAGGGGTGGGTGGGTGGGGGCTGCGGCTGACGGCGCCCAGGGGGCGCCAGGGCGAGCGGGCTCCGCCATGGCAGGAGAGCGAGCGAGAGAGACAGAGCGAAGCCCTCCCTGTCGCTCTCGTCGTCGCCCCGCCGCTCGCGCTCCGTCCTCCTCGCCGCCATGCCCGTGCTCGACACTGTCGTGGTCGGCGCCGCCGCCCGAAGAAGGAGAGGGTCCCTGGGCAACGCCGCCGCCGAACGCCGCCGCTGCCCACGCCCTCGCCGCCGAGGGCCGCCAGACTCCGCCGCTGGACGCCGCCGCTGGACGCCGCCGCCGGCCGCCGCCGCCCAAGGCAGCCGCCGGACGCCACCGCCGAAGGCCGCCGAAGGTTGCCGGACGCCGCCGCTGGTGAGGGGACCAAGAGCCGCCGCCGTGCCTCCGCGCCACGAAGTGGAGTGCCCCCGCGTCCCTTGCTCAACCCCTGAGCCTCGGTCCTCAATCCTGCGGGTCTTGTTAAAAAGGGGCCCAGACCCCAAAGCGATAGATCTCCCGGGGTTCCCCGCGTGCCCTGTGGGCCTCCCTGCGACTTGTTCGGGGCCACGGGGGCCCAAGACGGCTCAAGAGAGCCCCCGTAGCCCCGCATGATGGTCCAAGAGGACTTTGACGGAGTTCAAAGGGGGGCTGGTATAACAAACGTCGTGCCCACGCCTGGCGCTACCTGGCTCAAGGTAGCGCTGCCCTACTTGACTGTCTCGCGTCTGCGAGGCACTATTGGATCTGAGCGTCGGATAAAGGCCACATCCACCGATGATCCACCATCATATCCCTCATGTCTTGTCCCTTGTCTCTCGTCCTGCCCATCAAGAAGGGATCAACTATGTGATACCGTGATACGTCTACGACGTCATCCTAAGAAGCGGGGTCTCAGCTTACTACCTCCTGGAGATCCTGACCCTCGCTTTTCACTCGAGGGTCCCGGGTCGCCGAAAGATCGCTGCGAGACGCCCCAGCTGGCCCCAAGACGGCCTCAAGAAGCCTTCGAGACGCCCCAAAGAGCCCCGAGAGCCTTCCCAAGAGGGCCCAAGAGGCCAAACACATGGCTGTTATGCAGGTTCTTCTATGTTCTATGTTTCTCGGGCTCTCCAGTTTTCGAGCTTCCGACGCACCAAGACGGCCCAAGAGGCCCCCCAAACCACCCCAGGACGGCTCAAGAGGCCCCCGAAGACCGCCCCAAGACGGCTCAAGAGATCCCCAAGACGGCCCAGGAGGCGCCACAGACGGCCCAAGCGAGTCCCAAGACGGCCCAAGAGGGGCCCAAGACTTGGAGCCCGGCCCGACAATTCGAGCCTTCCGTCCCAAGATGCCCCCAGAAGCCCCAAGAGAACACTAAGAGGCCCCAAGGAAGCCCCAAACCGGCCCACGAGAGGCATCGAAACTGCCTCCACGAGGCCCCCGAAAGGCCTCCCGCGACATCCCAACAAACATCTTACAGACTTATGCCTCACAACCCAAGCACGCTGGCAGGATGAGCCGAAGGCCATTGCACCTGCTTGGCGCGGGGACGGAAATCGGTCTCACTCTGTGAGGGCGCGAGATCGCTTGCTCAGTGCCTGGGAGCCCTTTTGGCGCTCACGTCATACAAAAAACAGCCAACCCTGCGAACATCCATTAATGTGGCCTCTCTGGCCCTTGTTGGGTGTCCTTTTGGGGCTTGGGGTCATCTTGAGTCGTCCTGGGGCCCTCCTTGGCCGTCCTGGGGGGCTTGGGCCGTCTTGGGGCCCTCTCGGGGCGCTCTGGGGCCCTATTGGAGACCTCCTGAGGTCCTCTTTGGGCTTTCTTGGGAACCTTTTGGGGCCCTCAGGGGCATCTCTTGGGCCGTCTTGGAGACTTCTTGGGGGATCTTGGAGACCTCCTGGGCAATCTTGGGGCCGTCTTTGGGGGTTATTGTGCCGTCTAGGGGGGATGCTGGGGACCTCTCTTGGGCCGTCGTGGACCCTTGAAAGACCAAAGAAGCAGATATGCTAAGCATGCACGTTTTCCCAAATGAATGGTGCGAGTTTTGCCTCCGAGGCGTCCTTTTGGAAGGCTCGTGGAGCGTCTTGAGGGCCTCTTTGGCCGTCTTGAGGCCCTCCTGGGCCCTCTTTGAGCGCTCTCGGGCCGTCTTGAGCTCCAAGACGCCCAATATGGCCTTCAAGACGAACCTGAAGCGCCCCAAGTGGGCCCCAAGACTGCCCAGAGAGGCTTCCAAGTAGACTTCCGACGGCATCAGACGGGCCAGGAGCGCCATAAGACGGCCAAAGAAGCCCCAAGAAGCTCCCAAGAAGCCCTCAAAGGCCCCCAAGAGAACCACGGAGGCCCCCAAGAGGCCTCCGAGAGGCCCCCAGGAAGCTCCCAGGAAGCCCCAAGGATGACCCAAGAAGCTCCTAAGAGGTCTCCTCACCTCCACCTCCTCCTCCTTTTGCCTCCCTCTCCTCATCCTTCCCTTCCTTCTCCACGTGTTCCCCGAAGGGCTTCCACAACGGCTGGGGAACGCATGGTCCAATAGCGTGGCCAAACTTTGCCCAAACGTGTGGCCGCGTAGGCGTATTCCTAAAATGTAGGAGGCCGCGGTGATTCGCCGTGGGCGCCTTCGATAACGATGCCGCCGCTCCCCAGACTGTGTTCTGACCAAAACTTCGAGGAGAATCCCTCCGTGGTGACGTGGACCCCTCCGGGACGAGCAGCGGCAGTATCGTACCGCCGCCGCCGCCGGACGCGCCGCCGCCCAGGGCAGCCGCCGCAGGCCGCCGCCCGAGATTCTTCGGGAGGGCCGCGGCGTGGCGGCCGCCCGGCGGCACGCCGGGGGCGCGTGCCTGCACGCGCCCCTCGAGCAGCGTCTGGGCGACGCCGGCGCGCTCCGCGCGGCCCGAAGCGTCGCGGAGCAGCTCCTGGCACTCAGCCTGGGACGTCGTCGTCGTCGTCGACGTCGTCGTCGTCGTCGTCGACACCGTCGACGCTGTTGGTGTCGCTGTCGCCGTTGTGATCGTCCTGGTCGTCATTGCTGCCATTCAAGACGTCGACGTCGTCATCGTCCTCGGTGTCGTCCTCGTCTTCGTCCTCCTAATCATCGTCGGCATCGGCTTAGTCTTCCTCCTCTTCTTCGCTTCCTCTTCTTTCCGCCTCTCCCTTGCAACTTGGAGGATGACGATCGGGGGAATGAGGCCGGAGGGAGGAGGATAGAGGAAAGAGGAGGAGAGAAAGTGACAGAACCAAAAAAAACTCCTTTCGTTCGTACTACTATTTCCATCCTCTTTGCTTCCTGTCTTCTCCCCCCGAATCGACAGAATGCCGCCGAACTTCGTCCAAATACTTCTGAACACCCACAAGCATATCAGAACTTCCAGACACACTCGCTCGCCGAAACCTTTCGAATACATGGACGCAACTTCCCCCCTCCTCCCGAACCTCCGACGCCGTCATGTGTTTCACAATGTTGGCGCTGCAACTGTCGATTCCATCACCAAGGCAATCATTTAGCTACGGTTGTTCTTGAATTGGGTTCGGGCCCGAAAGAAAGGTGTCTGGTAAGCCAGCCCGAAATGAACGAAACACGCATAGTTATTTGTGAGGGGTCAAACAAGGATATGTCATGAACCAACGGATGTTCAACACACGCTTAGACGCGGCGGTGACAAGATGGACAAACAACGCTATGAGCCCGCCGGCGTCTTTCTCGGCGGTGCGAATGTTCTGACAACCGTTAGGCGTGACGGTGATGCTGAACTGTGCTTGAAACATGCAGACGATTTGGCTGACGTGCTGGAAGGGTTGATCGAAGAATTGGTTACAGTTGGCCTACCGCAGAACCCAGACTTAAATAAAGACACAATTCTCACCGCGAATGTATGGCCGTGCGCTGAGGTTAGCGAGAACATTCTGAACGACATGAGCGGCACGGACACGAACATCACCTGGGAAGCATTGCCAGCGAATCCGAATTGAACAGCACGCTTGAGCTAAGACAGCGCTTCGGCGCGCGTGCCAGAGGCCGCATGAACATCGCAACGCGATCCAGACCAGATGAACGGACGCGGCTGCGACTCACATCACTCCATTCAAAGGCACCCCAATCCTGAAATTTGGATCCGCAAGCATACCTCGATCGAGATATACATCTCGCTCCTAGGGCGTAACCGAGGACGGTCAGCTGATCGCCGGCTGGAAACGGACGGACGGCGAGGAGCGGCATGGCACCACTCGACGGCTGAGGGAGGGAGGCGACGATGCAGCGCTTTCCTGCAGGGCGATGAGATGTTCTGCCCATCCGTAGAGAACTCAAGCTGGCTTGCAAAGCAGTGGACCCCGGACCTCACTGGGCGGACCCTGTTATCGTTCGGAGCCCCCAGCACACGCAAGGAGCCTCGAGGGCGAGCGGGCGGACACGCAGCAGGTGGAGTGACCACATCGCTGCCTTCACGAAGCCCCGCTTGTCCAGAAGCCTTTCAGAACTCGACGAGCGCGCGTTCGTGGAAAACCGCATCGTCCGCTCAGCTGCATCGCGTTGAATACTTTCTCTACACGTCGATCTGCCATGCACGCGTGCACTACGGTTTTACACGCGCCCGCCAGCTCACGGACCAACCATCTGGCTTGACACGGCCCTTTAGGTTTCGTTTTTTGGAAGGCGCCTGGTGGTCAGCAGGGTCTCCACCGTCACACTCGAGCCCCCTCGGACCTCTCCTGGAGTGCTTTATGACCCGAATTGCGAAGCGGATTCGGCCGTGACGGCGAGGGCGCCACAGGATGCCCCAGAAGGGTCAAAAGCTTAGGTACACCTCGGCCCTCGACTCTCGACGACGTCGGTCCCTCATCCATCTCCCCATCCCGCTGTCTGGAAGAACAAGCACATGAGCTCTTCATCCTGAGACCGTTTTCCTGAAGGCCCCGTGGTGGGAAAGGCACCGGGTTGTCGAACACGGCGAAACAAATCAGAACATCTTTGAACCAAATGATACGACTGGCGACATGGAGAAAAAACACTCCCACCCCTCTTGTGGTGCGGCGGGACGACGAATCTTCCCGGAGCCCAGAGGCCCGAAACGAGCCGACCACACACAAACAAACAAGCATCGCTACCAAACCTCCTGTCTCCTCCCGACCAGGATCCGCTCGAAGCGGGCCCCCGGGCCCCAGACGCCGCCCGGGGGTCCATCCTGGCCAGAGTTCAGCCCAGATCCATGTCTCAAGTCCCGAAGGGAAGGAAAGGGCAACAGCAGACGACGCGGACGACGACGGCCAGGAAAGAGAGAGAGAGCAGCGAATGGGGAAGCCCAGCTCCCAACGCAGGCAACGCGCAGCGCGCGCACCCTGTGGTCCATGCAGAGCGGCTGGGGGAAGGAGAAGCGAGCCACAGCAGGCACGACAGAGCTCGAGGCGAGGCCCGGGAAGCCGAAATCGATGAACCAAAACTCTGGCGCGAACTCTGACGAATACGGCGACGGCGACGACAACGGCCCCTCTGGGCAACCACGTGCGAAGCCCGCCCCTGCAATGGGGTCGGATTTCTGAGACGCTGGCCAGAGTTCTGAATTCGAAGGACGTCTGCAGCCAAGAGGAGCCCAACGGGGATGTCCGATACCCCAGCGCCAATCGGCCCGCACGGGTAGAACCCCCTGGCAAGAAGGACACTTGTCCTGGATGCCTGGAGCTTTCCCTCGGAGCAGCTTTTCGTCCTGAGCATCTTTATGACTGTCTTGGGACCCGTAGGGCCCGAGGAAGCCAACAGCGGCGAAAAAGCTCAGGACCCGTGTCCCTCAGGACCCATTTGCTTCATGTGGGTCGCCATTTGGGGGGCCGCCGCTTCCTCGAGGAAACCCCGCTTCCTCGAGGAGCTGGGCCCCCGAGAACACTCCAGAGCCTGCCAAAACCACCCCAGGCGCCCAAAAGCCTGCTCGAGCTTCGACCCTGCAAGAGGAACTGGTGACCCCCCAGTGGTGACCCCCCAATGGCACTGCCTGACCATGGCGAGCACGTGAGCGCATGGCCCTCGACCCCCCCCGCAGGAGAACACTCGGGAGCACCTGCGCCTGGCCCTGCTCCCGCTCCGCGCGACGGCAGCGCTCCTGCTGCGCCCCGCACTCCTCGCCGCGGCCGCCGCCGACGGGCGGGGTTCAGCCGCCGTCGCCTTCGCCGCAGGTCGTCCTCACCGCTGGCGCCGTCGCCGTCGTCGCCGCCGCCGCCGTCGCCGTCGCGGTCGTCGCCGTCGCCGCCGCCATCGCGTGGGCGCGGCGCAGATCTTTCGCCCGCTCACTCGTCGGCGGCACGATCGCGCGCGGGCGGGCAAGCTGTCGCCCTCGCCCAGGCGCCTCGCGAACCCCGCCTGCAAGTGGCACTCCCGCGCGTGCGCGGCGCATCTTCGCTCGCCCAGTCGTTGGAGGCACATCCGGGGCGGCGCGCGAGCGGGCGACATGTCGCTTCGGTTCCGCCTGGAAAGGGCCCTCCCATTTCGACGCGGCACAGGTTGTATCATCGCCAGTCCTATCGGATACTTGGCCGCGGACGAGCGGGCTGAATGGCTATCTCGCCTGTCTGCACATGGCCTGGTAATTTCGCTCCTGCCTGCATATGGTCCAGGTTCGCATCCACGAGGCCGCCATCCCTGCTGAATTGAGCAGTCTTCTCGCCCTCCATGACATTACTCCTCTCAAATTTCACTACAGTTGCGTCACCGAGGCCATGATCCTGCTTCAATGAAAATCGCGTCCCCGAGGCCGCGCCCCCTCGTAAATTCTACTATGTTCGCATCCTCGAGGCCACGATCCCTGGTGAATTGCGCAATGCCCGCGCCCCCGAAGCCACGATTCCATGTAGTGTACGCCACAGCTGCGTCCTCGAAATCGTAATTCGCTTCACATTACACTGCACTCGCGTCCTGGAGGCCATCAACCCTCGTGAATTCCTAAATGTTTGCGTCACCGAGGCCACGATCCCCCGAACATGATACAACAACCGCGCCCCCGAGGCCACGATCCTTCGTACATTACATGATGCTCGCGTCCTTGAAGCCATCATATGTTGTAATTTGCTCGGTAGCCGCGTGTTCGAGGCAGTACGCCCTCACAATGTATACAATATTTGCGTCACCGAGGCCACGACCCGTTGTAACTTATGCAATGTGCGCGTCTTCGAAGGCTTGGGCAAACCAAACATATAGAGTTCCCAAGGCTTTTGCCGGGTTTTGAGATTCACGTCTGTTTACATTTCGGACTGCCCAAGATGACGATTGTCGCTCCATCCCAACGCATCGCTTGCGATCACGATTGTCAGCAAGTTCGCAGTGCGAGCCGCCAGAATTCAACATATGCTTTTGTGTTAAATGAAATGCGCTTTTCCAACGTTTGATATACAGGCCGTAACGTACGATATTGGCTCCTGCGTGAAGTTCCGATATTGCTTCACTAAGGCGCCCTAGCATCCCAACTTGGCTCTGGCATGCCCCGTAAGAGAGAGGGGGCCGGCCGCAATGGGCGAAGCCCTCGCAGATAATGTTCGAGGCTTGCTCACGCACCCCTCGATCCCTCCCACTTTCAAACATGTGGTCTACTAGAATGAGAATGATGTCATGATCCGTACTGGCTCAAGATGCGACCCACGGATTCATTTTTTGTTGCAGCCCTCGTTTCTGCAACCCGTGTGGCATGTTAGGGGATCCTGGCTATCCTGGAAATCTTGGAACGTATCATTATCATGACTTCTAGCTCCTCCGACCTACGTACGACGCCACGGAGCCCCTGAGTCCAAAGGAGTTTGCATCCTTTGCCGCCGTCTCGTATACTTCTGGCAACTTCCGCCAGCAGAGCACTTCTCGTTTTCATTCCGCCAGCCTTCCGCCGAAGAAGGGGCGTCTCCTCCTCGATCCCCCGACGGCGAGGCCCCGTGTGGAACGCCCTGCATGCGCAGACAAGCAATCCAGATGTCTGTATGTGTGCATGTATGTATGGGCGCGCGGGCATTCCCGTACCCCTGAAATCAGCAAGGTCATTGATGCAGCGCGAAACCTTCTTCCTCTTCTTCTTCTTCTCTACATTTTGTTTTGCATGCATGTTTTCGAACGTGTAGTTGCGCGTGGTGGTGCCCGTGCTCCTCCTCTTTCCTCAGCGCCTCTCTTCCTCCTCCGCCAATGGGAGTCTGATGCAGAGGAAGGAGGGGGGAAAAGAGGGGGGAGGCTGGTCCTGTAGGAATGCTTATAGGAACGAACGGACCCTCTTGATCCACTGGCCCCGTTTTTTCCAGCCCAAAAATACAACTGGACCAGTGGATCCAGCGGGTCAAACTTTTTCCTGGGACCTTCCCCCGGGGTCATGAGGGGGAGGAGGGCGAGAGGAGGAGGAGAAGGGGTCAAACAACTTGTAACCAGTCACTGTTTTTGCTCCGAAGATGAAGAGACATCACCGTAAACCATAGCGCTTCTAGGATTCAGGGCTCCGACACGCAATGAATTATAGTGTGTTTGGTTACGGGGTTGAGGAAACATGTAAAACACACCGTTTGGCTCCGAGAGACTGTATTGCACCATGTGTTTGGCTTCGCAGGTTGAGAACACATTGTAAAACATATTGTTGCTAGAATCCAAGGCAAGGAAGCGCTGTGATTTGCAATGCGCTTGGCTTCTGAGGTTGGGGACGCAGTGTAATCAACAATGTCTTTGGCATCCAGGGCTCCGAGACGCTGGTGTTTATAATGTGTTTGGCTTCAGAAAAGGAGCGCGTATGGTGACGTACAGCGGCTTTCGCATCCAGGGGCCGAACATACTTTAATGTGCAATGTGCTTGGCTTCGGATGTTGTCCCTGAGACCGTACCCCCAGGCACGCCTTCCTTTGCGAGCGGACCGCTCCAAGAGCCCACACCCTAGCGCCCTGGATAACGTCCCAGGAGGCTTTGCACTAACGCCCTGTCGTTTTTCTTTCTTCTCTCCCTCCATTTTCCCTATCGTCGCCAACCAGCCTGTGTATGGGCGGCGCGTCAAGCTCCGTCTGCAAGACCTCCTCCTCCTCCTCCTCCTCTTCCCCCTCCACCTTCCCCCAATTATTTCCCCCCTCCACCCTTACGAAGGAGCCCCTAGTACGGACTTCTTGCGAATGATCCCTGGCTCAAGGACTCGCATGAACAACTTCCTCATTCGGATCCCACTTCCTTTTCGAATTATCCTTACTCAAGAAATCTTGCGACCGATTCCGTAATACGGAATCGCGGCTACGGGTTCCCTTTTATGGGCTCCGCTAAATGCTCCAGACTGCCAGTTCCTAGCTCAGGACATCACTACTGCAGATTCAATACACCAGGTTTCCTTTCAACGGATTCCCGACGAAGGAAATTCGTATGTAAGGATTCGCGCGCATGTGTTCTTTGGGTCCCTTGCTTAAGACTCTTGGTTAAGGCTCCCATAGCAAGAATCCCGATTAACGACTCTCTACCAATCATACTGTATCTAGGGTTCCCGACTGAGGATCCCTTACGAAAGACTCCTCATTCATGATATCTCCTGATGGATTCCGTACACAGTGCTCATGTTTCGGGATTCGTTACTGGTGATCCCGTACGAATGCTGCGATACGACGGAATCGTTGTCAATAACTTTTTAATGCGGATTTATCCCTTCTGGTTCTTGGTTAAGACATGCCCATTCGTAAACCCTTAGTAATGGTTCTTTAATTCGGGTTCCTTACGAAGGCCCACTACGGATTTCTGCAGAAAGGTCAATACTAAGGGTTCCACAATACGGGTTTGTTCCTACGGATGTCCTACTCTGGATCTCTTACACCATCATCCTTACCAAATATCCCGAATCGGGGTTCCCCACTAAGGATATCGCACCCAAGACCCTTTTCCAGAACAAATCATTGGTTCGGACTCCTTCTTATGGGTTCGTTGCTGACGACTCCTTACTGATGACCGTTTCGCACGGAATCCGGATTGTAGACTCCGTGTTAAGGTTTCCTACATAATGTGATGCTACAAACGGTTCTCCTTATCTATATAGGGGATCCGTTACTACGAGTTCCTTCCTCAGGATCCTTTTTGCCACGAGCTCATTACGAAAGGTTCCTGACTTAGGATGCTTCACTGGGGACCCCCTGCTGCGATTGCCATATGATGGGTCTCTTCCTGAGAACAAACCATTGGCAAGGACCCCTTCTGATTTATTAATGGGAAGTGTGTTGTTTTTTTGTTGGACAAATAATGCTGATTGGGGGCGCTGTACTCGGGATTCCTTGCGGATGTTCTTCTGGTAAGGAGTCCTTATGAAGTCCTTATAGGAACTCCATATGGAGAGCTCACTAACTGAAGATATCGTGCCGCGTATTCTCTTGAACCCCAAGTTTCTTATTCTGGATCCTCAACTCCAGGTTCCTCACTACGGACTTCCTACTTCGGAATCAATAAGGCCCCCCTTTACCAAGGCATCTCGCTGATTCCTTACATCTGTACCCTTATTGGGGAATGCCTACCAAGGGATCCTGCATAGGGATTTACGATGAGGGATTTCCCAAGCAAGATCCCTCACTTCAAATTCCTTACAAGCGGCCCCTTGCTATGATGGTTTCCAGTTGATTCCCTTTGGCGGAATCCTGACCGAAGATCCCAGGTGACGGCTGTCATACTAAGGACTCCTTAGACAAGGAGTCCTTTTCATATCCGTTCCTACTTCAAATGTGTTTACACATAAATCCATGCGTCGAGTTCTGCACGACGGGTTCTTTCCGAAGACCCCAAGTAAGGACTCTTCATGGAAAAAACCCTTACGAAGGGTTCGAGAAAATGAACTCCTTAGTATGACCCGCTTCTGAGAACCATTCCAACATATTCCGTATCAAGAACCCCGTACTGCACAATACTTACAACGGTTCGTACACGCAGAATGCCCAATTACGGGTTCCTGATAGAGAAAGGGAAAACGGAGAGAGAGAGAGAGAGAGAGAGAGAAAGAGAGACAGAGAGATAACGATATAATTAAAGAGGGAGAGAGAGAGAGAGAAAGAGAGAGAGAGAGAGAAAGATAAAGAGAAAAAGAGAGAGAGAGAGAGAGAGAGAAAAAAAAAAACAGGAGGAACGAGAGAGAGAGAGAGAGAACGAGAGACA